TGTGTGTGTGTGTGTGTGCGCGCGTGTGTGTGTGTGTGTGTGTGTGTGTGTGTGTGTGTGTACGGGGGTGGGTGGGAGTGGGAAGGGCACAGTAGACATGAGGTGCTGAAACATAAATGACTAGGGGATAAAAGTGGCATGGAGAGATGAGGCTGGAGAGGAAACAAGGAGGAAGGCCACTGAAAGGTGCATGGGTAGGAGTGGCCGGGCTGGGATGAGCAGGGAGCTGGGAGGAGACTGCTGGGGTCATCCAGGTGAGGGTGGTAGAAGCCTGGCCTAGGACAGCAGTGGGAATTGGCAGGTGGGCAGGGCTTGGGGAGTCTTGGGGAGATCGAGGGTGGGAGGGAATTGATCAGGCCAGGCCCTTGGGCAGGATGGATCCAGAGAGGGCTCCAGAAGCTGAGTAGCTACAGAGGAGGGTAGAGCTCCCCACCCTCTGCTTCTCCATACCTTAGTTCAGCTCACCTGTCCCAATTTGTGCCCGGAGATCTGGCAGATTCAGAACATCAGTTACCTGGGCTATGTAACCCAGAAACAACGAAAGCTCCCCACCTGTCTTCTGAAAGCCCACAAGGAAAAAGCTTGAAATCTGTGGCCTTTCTGTAGGGCCATTGCTGTAAGTAAAGGAAGAGGACTGGTCTCATTCATCTTCATATCCTCAGCACCTGGCCCCATGTTGGGCTCAGCAAATACTTTAAGTGGATGGATGGATGGATGTCAGAATCTTGCTTATTTTGTATTACATATGCCTAGCTTGGTACCTGGCACAAAGCAGGTACTTATCAAATTAAATGAATGAGTGGGTGGGTGGATGGACAGATGGACAGATGGATGGGGAAGGAGAGATGGAAGGTAGTAAAAAAGGAAAGAAACAGTCTTCTCTCTTTGGTACCCCAAGGGCCTACCACATAGTAGGGGCTCAATAAATAATTTAATGGATGTATGTATGAATGAATGAGTGAATGAAAAGAAGGAAGGAAAAAAGTGAAAGAAAGAATAGCCTTGTTCACTCTTGTGTATCTTCAGGGCCAACCCACTGCTGGATGTAATATAGTAGGTGCTCAGTTAGTATCTGTTGGATGTTAACTGCATGAATGTTGGATGGGTCAGAGCCACTCTTTTTCACATTGGTCTGGCTCTCCCCAGGGAACCCAGAACCTCGGGTGACCTTGCATCTACCCCGGCAGGTGGACGAGCAGATTCATGCCTGCTATGCACAGACCATGGCCGAGTGGCTGGGCTGTGAGGCGATCGTGAGGCAGAGGGAGCGGGAGTCCCATGCAGCTGCCCTGGCCAAATGCTCGTCGGGGGCCAGCCTGGACAGCCACCTACACCGGATGATGCACAGGGACTCCACCATCAGCAACGAGGTGATGGGCAGCTGGCCTATGGGAGGAGGGTGATGGTGAAGTCCAGGATCTGCTCCATTGGGCTCTTGTAGGAGTGGTGAGGGCTGGGTGTCTGTGGCCCTCAGGCAGTCTTACCCCAGCTTTCTTTCTTTTTTTTTTGAAGAAATTTTACTTTGGAATCAGACTTGGGTTCAAACTCCAGCCCCACCATTTTCTACTTCTGAGGTCTCCTGAAAGCACCTTTGTTTTCTGGGCCTCAGTTTCTGCATCCATAAAATGGGAATAACCAGATGTATAGAGGAAGTTTGTGTACAGCTTAAACAAGATAGTGTGTATTTGAAAAAGTGCCTAGCACAGTGCCTAACTGTCATTTATTCAACAAATGCTTATTGAGTACTTACCATGTGCCAGGAACTGTCAGGCATGTCCTGGAATGTCACATTGTTAACTTCACAGAATCTCCAGTTTGTTAGCCCAAAGCAGGAACTCAGAAGAAAAATTAAATCTCTTTACCAATGCTGTATCAGTCGTCAGTTAACACAATAACACTGCATAATAAACAACCACCAAGTCAGTGACCTCCAACAACAAATGTTTATTTTTGCTCATGAGTCTGTGGGTCAGCTAAGCATCTCTGCTCTGAACCAGGCTGGGTGGGGCTCACTCAAGGGCTTGCTGTCTGTGGCTGGTCATCTGAAAGGTTTGTTGATCTTGGTTGGGCTCTCTCACCTGATTGTCTGGGATGACTCGTCTCTGCTCCATATGTCTGATCCTCTGGTGGGCTAATCTGGGCATGCACTCATGGTGAAAGCTAAAGACAGAAAGCAGAAATGCGGGCTGGCCCGGTGGCGCACTGGAGAGTGCGTCGCTTGGGAGCGCGGCGGCGCTCCCGCCGAGGGT